CTTATATGGAAACGATAAAGTTAAATTTCACTTTTGTGAAAACTAAACAACTTTAAGATGAGAGATTTCCATTTTTATAAATATACCAAAACAAATGGGATAATTAAATGAAGACGAAGTGTATTAAAGTGCAAATCTATTTATAATATATAATGTATAACTATATTATAAAAATGAGTTTCCTTTATGCACTATTCAAAAATTTGGTCAAGTTATTTTGTCTCATTCTCTTCATTATTTAAAAAAAAAACTTTTCTTAGTTTTTCTCTTATTCTTTTTTTTTTTCTTTCTCCTAAAATCATACATCTTCAAACACGTACAGTCGGCAATATTTTTACTCTAATTTATCCCCGTTAAAATGATTTGTTTCAAATATGTCCTTAATTAAATTATTTTTCTAATCATTAAAATGTTGTTTTATTAAAGTGACCTTCATAATTTTTTTTTTACTAATCACCACAATAAAATAATTTTCCCAGATACATTCATACTTTAATGTATTTTTTCTTCTCATATAAAGACAATTTCTTTCCTTTTTTTGTGTTCGTCAAAGAAAATTTCAGGCCATATGAGAAATAGTATTTGAAAGTGTTGCAACATTCTTTACTATTTTGGTTTTTTTTTTTCTTGAATTTGACAATATTAAGAAATGATTAAATGAAATTTTTAATTATTTTCTCTTAATTTTCTCTGTATTAAAGAACATAATATTTTATTTATACTCTGAAGCCTCTCTAATTTTTTGTCCTAATGTTTTATTCTCACAAATATATTATTAGTGTTAATTATTCTCACGTGGCAATAATTAGCATTATAATATATAAGAGAGATAGATGACATGAATATCTCTCTAAAGTTAAGTATGTAGAGAAACATGACGAGACAGCAGCATATGAATGTCTCTACAAAAGTATGTGGTTGTCATATTATTATTTATTGGCATATTGACATGGCTCTTGTAATAATTGTGAAAGAGTTGCACCAAGTCAAGTCATGAATAAAGCAGATTTGTCAAAGTAAAGATCTCTCCACTTAATTTATAAAATTTGTCATGAAAGTGTTGTCATGTTGACGTGACAATATTTTAAACACTCACTAATATAAAAATGACCACTCAATTAACACAACAGTTGATATATAAAAGTTGAGATTTATTCTATTTCTTTTATTCTCGCAATAGAGCCATTGAAAATATCATAATTGTTTGCTCGTAATACATTTAAAGACGATAGATGATTTCTCAGCCTTAAAAATAATAATAAAAAAAAAGATTTAGATATGATGATAATTACATGGGGTTTTTTTTTTTTTTTTTGAAGGACATAATTACATGGATTAGCTTGAGCCTCCTAACGAAAAGTACAATTTTTTTTTCTTGGTATTACTCTAACATTGTGTTTTCTTCGACAATGGAATCTTTATCGTTTTATTTTTTATATGATTTTTTGAAAGGGAACTGGGATATAGCATTAATTAGGGAATCCAAACAAATTACATTGAAAAGCCAACGTGGGAGGGAATCTAACCAAGAAAGAGAGGATCCCATCTAAGGTTAAAATTGGCAAGACCATGAGCAACCCCATTTGTAGAGCGTGGACTAAAGACACAAGTGCAATTAATTTCAGGCGCGTTTATCTAATCGTAAAAAGAATGTAATAGGAAATGTAATGAGATTAAAAAAAAATAAAATAATAAGATTAAGAGTTATTTATTCTCTTTTAAGTGTTTAATTAATTATTAGTTAGTGTAATGATAAACAATTTCACTCTATTTCTTATGTTTACTAAAATTATGAATAATAATATTATAAATGTAATCACTAAAATGTCTTTTTATACAATCTGATAATTATTAATTATTTAGTAATTCATTAAGGGTATATAAGTAAATTTAGCATTCCTTTTATTTAACAAGGAATCAATATTAAAGGGGGTCCATCACTAATTTTATAAGTAAACACATTATTAGAAGGGAAATGGAATCACTTCTCATTTCCTTTTTCCTTTGATGCAAAATAAACATACCCTTAGAGAGAAGGGACCAAATATCTCCGATTAAAGCATCGTGCAGACCAGTAAAGTACTTGGACTGAATATAAGAAATGACTTTGCTCGCATTTGATTTAGCGATGGACAGCTTCAAATGATAGGCCATTTAACCTTTTTTTTTATTTTTACCCTAAAACTAGCTTTTCTTATTTTTTTTTTAATTTTTCCCTGAAATTTTATATTTTTTTCCCGTTTTGGTTCTTTTTGCTCTAAAATTTATTTATTTCTTCATATGATCCATTATAAAATTTTATTTATTTTTTTCCGTTTTGATCTCTTTTGTCATAAAACTTATTTATTTCTTCAATTCACTCTTCTGTTACACTTTTTTGACTACTTCTCCTAAATTTTTTTTTTTTCATTTTTATTCCTTTTTCAAAGTTTATATTTAGATGTTATATGTTTCTAATAATAATACGATAGTTAAAACTAACACACGATTATTCTCTACGTGCATAACATTACTATCTAACTCGTATAAATTCAAAAGTGTGAAAATAAAAATTGACTAGGAGAAAAATAAAATATAGAGCCATGCAGGTGAATCCAAAACTTTTAAAGCAATTATTTTCCTATCGGTTTTATTTTTTATTTTTACTTTTCTTAAAAGTCAAACAGGAAAGATTTACCTTTAGAAAAACCTCAACTATTATTTCACTTTTTTTTTATTATCAATAACAAAAGAAAAACAAAGTTATGATACACAATTGTTATCACTTCATTTTTATTTTCTGACTGAAAATTTGTCAGACCAATAAGTAAAAATAAACAAAAGTTCCTTTTCTTGAAATTCAAAATAGAAAAGGATTGGCTTTTAAATTAATTTAGTTAAATAATAAATATAGTAAAAATCCAATAGTGACATAAAAAGCCTAAAAAGCAAACAACTGTGCATATCTGACAGATCTGACTAATGTTCCTCTCCTCACACATGCAGAGGTAATCTACTTGCACAGACTTGCATTATATGTCACAATACTCAAATTTAAAACCTGTTTCGTTTCGCTGATTTGAGTTTAGAATTTGAGTTTTATTACAGTAAAAATTTAAATTCTAAACTCGAATCAACGAAACAAACGAAATATTTATAATAATTCGAATTAAATTCTAATTTACAAAAGTAAATATTCACAAGACAATACCCAAAAAGGAAAAATTGGGAGTTCAGAATAAAAAAATCGGTAATTTTTTATTTTTAATCGTTAAATTTGTGTCAAAAATTCTCTGTTTTACATTTTTTTCAATTTAATCTAATTTAACGGTAAAAAATTGACACTATTTTTTTTTGAATTAATATTTTATTTTTTAAGATTTTTCCTATCTTTTGCTTTCGAAAAATTAAAAAGAAAAAACAAACCAGGTCTAAAAATTCTGAAATTATGCATACATGTTCCTTACATTTTAATTGTGGTTCAACTATCCATAGTTTCATTCCCCACTATCCATATATTTAATTATGTAAATATACTTACAAGCATATGCTTATATATTTGTGTTGACAATGATGCAGGTATTACCTTTGGATAGTGGGGAATGGAGCAACTTTAGGTAGTAGTACGTCTGTTTTCTATAGTAGCCGTTTTGTTTGAGCTTAACCAGATAAATGCTCCGTTCACTTCACTGATTCGAGTTGAGATGTGATTTTGTGTGAGAGTTTTTTACTGTAACAAAAAAGTTAGATGTAACTGTTTCTGAGAGTTTTTTATTATAGCAAAACTCAAATTTTAAACTCGAATCGACGAAATGAATAGAATGTAGATTCACTTATGTTCAAAAGCGCCAAGTGGAAGGTATTACTCATCTTTCCAAACTCCTTTTATGGCGATACATGACTTTTTTTTGTCTTCCCAAAGGATAAACTTTTTAGGAAAAAATCGTTCTAGAGGAAGAATTCAATTCTTACTGCTTCACTAGTGCATTATGGACATCAATGAGAAGACTTAGAAATAAAGAGCTGATTATTTTATTATGACAAAAATACTCTCCAACAAATACATTATACATTAACATATGCATTTAAAAAACAGGAAAAGAAAAGAAAAGAAAAATGGATGCTTGCAAAATTTTTACATAATACAATAAAATATGCATTACATATTGTCGTTGTTAAGAGCTGCTTGATAATTTTCCCTATCTCCATCGAGATAAATACACGTCTCTCTAACGGATTCAAGACCATATTGTTTTGTATGAAAAAGATTAACAAAAATTTTTACTCAACAAGTTCGTGATGTTATCTTACATTTTGGGGGATCTAGCATGCCATTGGCATTAACAAGATCAATACCTAAGCAATGATTGACACCCTTTTCTCCTCACACAAAGTGAAATGTAGGGGTTGTTCATTTGGAGTGTAACTTGAGTGTAATTTTTGAGTTGAATTTGAGTGATAACTTGAGTTAAAGTTGTAACTTGAATAAAGTTGAGTAAAGTTGAATAAAGTTAGAACTTAAAAGAACGTTAACTTGAATAAAGTTGTAACTTGAGTTTAAATTTTTTCTGAGTTTTATTGCAAAAGAACAATCCCGTAGTTTTCCCACGTTATTTGTTTTGCACAGTGTAATAAATCATAATTTTTTTTTCTCCACAAATTTTTAAACAACCATCTATATCATACAACAACACATTTTGTTCTAACACGTGAACGAGTCCCAAAATACCTGAATTTTAAAAACTCTATTGAAGCCCCCCATTATTCATTAATGAAAAGTCTTTCATATTCAACAAGTTAATTTAGAGTTTAAGAAAGTGTGACATGCGTAAAGCGAACAGAGTTAAAGTGTTAAGTGTTGACACCAACAGAAAATTGGATGAAAAAAAAGAATATAAGCAAAATAAAATAAACAAAAGAGAAAAAAAAAAAACAAGAGAGAAAAAAAAAGAACAAAAGAGATAAAAAGAAAAACACAAAGCTCTAGTAATATACCTAAAAGAAAAAAGAAAAAAAAAGAAGGGAGGAAAAAAAAAAACACATACACTTTGCACAAGAAAATACTTCTCGTTTGATTTTTGCTCCTCCTCCTCCCCCTTTCTCTCTCTGTCCTCTCTCTCTCTCTCTCTCTCATCTTTCTGTGTTTTTAATCAAATCTTAGCTTTGTTCTCTCTTATGTAGTGTTGGATCAATTCAAAAATATAAAATACCCATCACAGAAAGAAAGATCACTATTCTCTTCCTTAACCTTATTTTCCCACTTTCCATTTTCCATTTTCCATTTTTTTTTCCCATTACATGTTCGTTTAGTTTCATCCGAAAGCCCCACAGTCCCCGACCCCTCCTCCTCCATTGCCCCTTTCTCTCTCTACATATTTCTCTCTCTAACTTTCTCTGTGCGAACATGAGCGGCGGTGGGTTTAGGGTTTCAATCCCGAGTAGTGTGAGGAAGACGATCCAGAACTTAAAGGAGATCGCCGGCAACCACAGCGATGACGAAATCTACGCAATGCTCAAGGAATGCTCCATGGATCCCAACGAGACCGCCCAGAAGCTTCTTCTTCAGGGTACCTTATACGATACGATTGCTTTCGTGATCTTGATCGTGCTTTTTCATGGCGATTCATTCACTGTGATCGATCCATCGGATTTTTTTTGTTTACTGTTGTTATTTATTTATTTAGGTTTTGTGCTGTTAATGTTTTTGATTCGGTAATATGAGTTTTCTTTGTCTGTAATGCGAATTAGTTCTCACTAGATTGGGAGTTAGCTTAGGATGATTTTGCCTATTTTAATTTTGTGGGGGGCATTTTTGGGGTCCAAATTCTTATGATTTTGCGTTTAACGCTGTTGTTTATAGATATAAAAATAATGATTATTCTTTTTAACCTTTAACTTTCTGTTTGGTTGCTCAGAAATGCAAGAAAAAATAAACTTAACTTCAAACTTACCTGCCATTTGCTACTGCAGAACCATTTTTTTCACTGATGGTTTAGCACCACTTATGATGTATTCAAGAAGCTTTATAGTCTTAGCATTGAATAACAACGGTAAATCTACATCTGGAGGAAACACTTCTGGATCAAGAATTAAATTGAACAATTTTTTAACTTTGATATCTGATTTCCGCTTATTGTATAATTAGAAAATTTCCCTGAAATGTCTCAAACTGACGGTTGGATATGCTTAGGAGATTGGAAGAAGCATCAGTTAGAATGTTAATACACTTTAAGATCAACTTGTCGGTTATTGGTTTGGGCAAGATTTGACTCTGCATATCTGTTAAATTGCATCTTTATTTATCAGATATACTACCGAGTACTGATTCAGTACTGTAATTTTCAATTTGAGAAACAAAATTTTTATTGTTCTCGATCCAACATTAATTTAATTTGTTTCCGAAAAACCAAGATAATAGTGTGCGTATTGTTCTACAGATACATTTCATGAGGTCAAAAGGAAGCGTGATAGGAGAAAAGAGGTAAGTGATCTTATCATGCGATCACAATGATCTAGGAATATCCCCTTCCTATATTTGATATGCTGAAACCTTTTCCTTGCAAATTTAGGTGGCTAGATTGACTGATTTGGCATGTTTTTTATTTTATTTTTATGTTTTTGCCTTGCTATATACGCTATTTAGACAAAGTTAAGGGTTGCTCGGCCATCACTTTAGACAAAGTTAAGGGTTGCTCGGCCATCACCCCCCCCCCCCCAAGACTTACTCCCCTCCACAAAGTCAGATTGATTTATATATCTTGAGGATTGGAGTTTGATTAATTCAGTGAATGGATGCAGGAGGTAGATAATTTAGGAAAATGCAAGCTTGATTAGTTTGAAGAGCTAATGAACTAAGTGGATAGCATGTTGGATAGACATCTTTTTGCTTTTTCCCCTTTCCTTGATAGTTGACTATATCAGCGTGTTGTTTCATTTGTAGAATGTGGGTGGTGAACGTACACCTTAGGAAATTGCCAACTATGTTTTTTGCACTTCGTTACTATTTCTTTTAAGTTTAGACTTATTTTTGGTTTTAAAATTTACTTTCAATACTTCAAATAGTTTTCTTTATTTTTCTGTAGAATGTGAACAACAGAGAGTCTACGGAGACAAGGTGGAGGACTGGAACACAAGGGCGTGGGGGCAGGGGCGGTCGTGCAAATTTTTCACCTCGTTATCCATCAAATGGTAAAGAATATGCCCAAGTATTAACTTTTCTGAGCGTTATTTATCAACTCCTGTAGTTTGCCTTTCTTTTCTCTTCACTTGCTCTTTTAGGATTGATTGTATGTCTTTATATTGACATAACTGTTGAAGTTTTATGATTCAAAAACATTTTCTTAGATATTGTATGATTGTTGAACAACATGAGTTCTTTCTTGGGGTCAGTTATGTGGTTGGATTTAATTTACTTCACTGTTTTACTTTCTAGATGCCGGCAGTGGCAAAAATCCAGGTCCAGGAAAAGAGAATGGTCTGCAAGGTGGGGAAAAGGGTATTACTCCTTCGCAAACCTCTCACGAGACCAAGGATAAAGAAAGAAATTCAGCAACAAGGTGGCTAAATTTTTAAGTTTTACGGTCGTTTCTAATTTCTACTTTCAGTCTTCCAATCCATGGTTTATTTTAATAGGATTGATCAATTTCTATAAACTACATCGTTGATTTTTTTGCAGCTCTGCTTCTGTCGTTTCTAATGGTCCTACAACTATTGCTTCTGGAAGTACTAGTGTTGCAAATGCGTCCACTATCTCAGTAGGAAGTGATCCTGAGTGGGATTCAACTTCTGTTGGCACTGATAACTTGAGCACTACACTCCACTCTGTTGATGTGAGTAAAAAGCCCATAACTGCATCTGCGGATGATAATTCGTATGAGCAGCCTGAACAAAGCTCCAGTAGTTGCGCAGTATTGCCAATGCCGACATCTACATCAACAGTCTGTTTCTCATCTTCAGATCCAGTACTCATGCCGTCTAATGATTCGCGAGTCCCAGGTGCAGTAGGCGCAATTAAACGTGAAGTGGGTCATCGTGCCTCTTGTGAGGTAAATGCAACTCTCCATGTTGAGAAGAAATCAACTGCTGGTAAGGATTTTCAAACCACAGAAAACCCTTTTCTTTTGTTTATTTGTTTAAAGTTGAACATTGTTGATTAACGTAGATTAGTTTTTGCCAATGACTACATGGTAGCTTCTGAGATTAGTATCTCTTCTGCACAAGTTAAAATGCCAAGCAAGTCCCAGGGGGTTGGGAAAGGTCAGCTCACTGAGTTTTCACAACCTTCATCAACATCAACTCACGTGGGCTCTTCAAATAGTCGGCCATCTTCCAATTACAGTAACCGGTCGCAACAAGGAATTGGTACCCAGAAGGGTATACTTTCTAACTGTTTCTTTACTTCAGTATATTGTTGACTTTGGAATTATCTTTACTTCATGTTTTGCTGCTTGATTAATAGTGTTTCATCATTATTATCTTCCCAGGTTTCTTAGTTGCTTCTTGCAGCTTGTTATATTGCCCTTTAGGGGTGTATATCTTTACTTTGATAGTTCATTCTCTTTTCTGCTGCAACATAGGAAGTCAGTGTCAAATCAAAAGTTTAATTCTAAACGGACCTTTTAACCGGTTAATAGATTGACGAGATCAGTGACAATGATGAGGAAGATGTATAGAAAATATTTTGCCCAAGTCTGACATAAATATCTACTGACAAGATACAATTATTTGATTACTTGCTTATGAGTTTACATTAGATTTGTAATTTTTCATCAGCAGGAGGTTCCAATAAAGAGTGGAAACCAAAGGCTGTTCAAGGTTCTGGAACAGCTGGTGCTTCTGAGTCTCTGCCCGGTGTTGTTGAAGCAAATGCCAAGTCACAGCCTGTTTCAAATATCCTTGAATCTGAAGATGCAACTTCAAAACTGGAGAGGATGTTGGAGGAGAAGTTGGAGGAGTTACACCTTCAGCAACGTCAACATGTTATTTTACCAAATCACATTCATGTTCCTGAATCTGAAAGAACCAAGTTGAGCTTTGGAAGTTTTGGCTTTAGCTTTGGAGTAAGTACAATCAATACAATTGGTTCTGAGAGTGACAAGAGTTCTACACCTCTGCCTGGAACCTCTCAGGGTGCTGAAGAAAATGTGGAGGAAAAGTCTTCAAGGTTTGTGATTTTATTTTAGTTTTTGGTGCTTTGAGTTGTTGTCCAACTTAGACTAGGCATGGTGTTTTCATTGTCTCTTCTTGTGTTGAATTTTGGGAGAGGAAAATTGCTTTCATGAAGGAGTAATAAGAGTATGGATGTCTCTTCTTGTGTTGAATTTTGGGAGAGGAAAATTGCGTTCATGAAGAGTAGGGACGGAGCAACAATCTTTTATTATTGGGTTGTGTAAGAGTCAAGTCAATATACCTCAGAAATGGGAGTAATACATTAGCAAATGACTCCTTAGTTAGTATGTAGAATAATGAAATTCTTGCCCCAGTTTGGTATAGCACGTTTATACTCACTGCTTTTTTTTTTTCCCTCCCTTCAAAAGGTCCTATAGCTTATAATTTCCAGCCCTCATCTGATTCATCAATTATGATGATGCTGTTTGTAAAGTTTGAGTGATATCCTTTTTCAGTCTGTATGTCGACCTCATAAGTGCTTGTGTATTGTCTATATGGATTCTTTTTTGCTGAACAACGTAGCAGGGACCCCATTGTATTCTGTTTTCACATTTATTTATTCCTTTGATTTCAGCAACCAGAATGTCATTGCAACTGCTGATGAAGGGGATTATCCTGAGCATCCACAATCACCTACACATGTACCTGAGAATTTATCATCTACTGAGGGTGATGTTTCATCCAATGCTACCCCTGGGCCCAATGAATCTAAGCAGGATACTGAATTGCCATCCGGAGGCCAACAATACTCAATGGTGAATACTTCTTCAACCTACAGTTTTGGGCTTGTACCTCCTATATTGGGAAGTCAGCTTGCACCACTAGAAAATGCTGAGTCTCAAGCTCGTGACGTTTCTCGCCTTCCAAGCTTTGTTGTGAGTCGTCTTTCCTCATTTTTTTCCCCTGTGCTATTAGGTCTAGCTTCACAGTAATTTAAAGAAAAAGTGTCCACAACTCTGATAGGAACCAGAGGAATTCACACAGAAAAACACACAATTGCACGAAAAATTGAAAGTACTGAATCAAACTTTATTGAATAAGGAATTCCCCTAACCAATATAGAGCTAATTCTCCAGAAGATAGTCATTCGAGATACTGTTGAATCTCCCTGCTTGGGTTGCCCAAGACTTTCCCCTACGATTAACTGCCTACTACTTATCACTAGTTGTGCTATTTATATCTCTTTTGCATACAAACAGTCTGCTTAACCACTTGCATTTCCTAACAACCTTTCTCACTAATTTTTTTTTAATACACGTCAGCAATACTACTCAAATCAATAATCAACATAGCACAATAGCTACAACACACAAAACACACAAAACACACTAATCTACCTCACTTTTTGGCCTCACATAAGTGAAACGAATTGGGGTTATATCAAACTCATCCTTTTAGCTTGCTATTAATTGGCTTGCTATTTCTAAGATTTTGCAGTGTAATCTGCTGACTAAACTGTTAAAGATTTCTTTGGTTTACTATGGACAATTGTAAAGATGATCACTGATGGTCTATTGTGTTGTAATATTGATCACATCTTGTGTTTGATTGCTTGTATTTACAGGTTCAACCCTTTGATCCAACAAGTTATTATGCTCAATTTTACCGCTCAGGTGCTGATACCGATGGTCGCCTTTCTCCTTTTCCCTCGCCTGGTGTTGCTACCAAGTACAATGGGAATGTTGCAGTATTGCCTCCTCCAAATCCACAGTCTCCACAAGAGGTTTGCACTAGTAAAGCACCTATTTTTGCCATGCATGCTGGGAGAAGTTTTGGAGTTATTCTGAGAATTTATCATTCTAGAGAACTTTCTATTTATTGGAGAGACTGCACCATTGTTTTGTTCTGGAGGAGTTATCTTTTATATAAGAGCTATTGTAGAATGAATAATTATTTGATTTTTATAGGCATAGGTTTAGTGGACCATAAATATAATATGTTATCTCTTGCTTATCTACAAATTAATGCCGGGTTAGAGTCGAGGATTTACCTTTCCTCTAGTTAATATACAAATGGTATTATATTTTGTTTGCATTACCCATTAAAAGAAGACTGTAATATGCACATTCAACATTGCATATCTGTTGGTTATGGGCAACTAAAGGTTTATTTTAGAAATTGTTCTAAAATCAATTATAATCATGTGTGGTTGACATCCTGTTGGTATTGCGTATTTATTGTTTAAATCTATTCAATACGAATTCCTTTACAGAAATCTGGTGCATATATTCAATTGCAACTTTATGCTCTTATAGCTACCTTGTGAATGGTTGCTATCATTATGTGTAGAATATTTTGGAAGAGAAGAAGTTATTTTCTCATTTACTGACCGAATATTTATATACACAGAAAAGAGATCTTAGGTTGTTAAGATCCCTGAAAACTAGGAAAAGAATCTGCCTAAGAATCAGATCTACTTTACACGGCTACTTTAATGATATAATACAACTAACTTCTAGAAGATTTTCTACACTCCCCCTCAAGCTGGGCTGTATAAACTCAACATGCCTAGCTTGGAACATAGTTCTTGGAAGTTAGTGCGGTGGAGTGCCTTTGTTAGGATGTCTGCGGTTTGATGCCGTGTAGGAACGTAGTTGAGTGAGATTTTTTTCCCTTCAATCTTCTCACTGATAAAGTGACGATCTATCTCAACGTGCTTGGTCCGATCATGATGGACTGGGTTCTTTGCTATGGCTATAGCTGATTGACTATCACACCTCATGTCGATAGGACCTTCTGCCTTAACTTTAAGTTCTTGCAACAACCTTTTTAGCCACATTCCTTCACATATCCCATGCGCCAATGCTCTAAACTCGGCCTCTGCACTGCTGCGGGCAACGACTGGCTGCTTCTTGCTTCGCCAAGTCACTAAGTTTCCCCAAACGAATGAACAATAACCTGAAGTGGATCTTCGATCCGTAGATGATCCTGCCCAATCGGCATCTGTGAAAACTTCAATGGTTCTGTTTGTGGTTTTTTCGAATAACAATCCTTTGCCTGGGTCTCTCTTGAGATATCTTAGGATTCGATACACCGCCTCCATGTGTTCTTCTGAAGGTTTATTCATGAATTGACTAACCATACTTACTGAGAAGCCTATATCTGGGCGAGTATGAGCAAGGTAGATTATTTTTCCCACTAGACGTTGATATCTGCCTTTGTCCACTGCTGTACCACCTGTCCGCACTCCTAATTTTACATTTGGATCCATAGGAGTGTCAACTGGTTTACATCCTACCATTCTTGTCTCCTTTAGTAGGTCCAAAACATATTTTCGTTGTGGCATTGAGATACCTCTGCTTGATCTAGCCACTTCCATTCCAAGGAAATACTTCAGGTGTCCAAGGTCTTTGATTTCGAATTCTCTTGAGAGCAGCTTCTTTAGGCACTCCATTTCTTCCCAATGATTACCTGTGAGGACTATGTCATCGACGTACACAATAAGTGCAGTGAGTCTTCCATCGGTAGCATGTTTGACGAATAATGTATGGTCGGCTTGGCACTGAACATAGCCATCCTTCTTGAGGACTCTAGTGAATCTGTCAAACCATGTCCGAGGAGACTGTTTGAGGCCATACAAGGATTTTCTGAGTTTGCAGACTTTGTTGGCAGTGGAATTATCTTCGAAACCTGGAGGTATCACCATGTAAACTTCTTCCTCGAGGTCTCCATTTAGGAAGGCATTTTTTACATCGAGTTGAAGTAGAGGCCAATCTTGGTTTACTGCAATGAAGATGAGGACTCGGATGGTGTTAAGTTTGGCTACTGGAGCGAATGTTTCTTGGTAGTCTATTCCATATGACTGAGTGAACCCTTTTGCCACGAGGCGAGTCTTGAACCTTTCCACACTGCCATCTGCCTTGTGTTTTACTGAGAATATCCATTTACACCCAACAGCATGCTTACCCGGAGGCAGAGTAGTAATCGTCCATGTCTCATTCTTCTCAAGTGCTCTTATTTCATCCAGGGTGGCTGCCTTCCATTCGGGTATTTGTAAAGCTTCATGGATGAAAGTGGGTATCCGGACCTGGTCTAGCTTGGACACAAACGCTCTGTAGGTTGGGGACAACTTCGCATAAGACATATGATTGCGAAGAGGGTGTTGTGTACATGGTCGAACTCCTTTCCGTATTGCAATTGGAACATCCAGGTCTGAATTAAGATCTACAACCGGATCAGGCACAGGAACAAGAGTAATTTCAGCCTTACCTTGAGTATTTTCAATGGAGGTTGGAGTCGAGGAAGAGTCTTGGTTATGCTGAGTTTGTGCAGGTTGCATCTGAGGATGTTTTCTCCTTGAGTAGACACTAAAGTCCTTTTCTGTTGCAGTTTGATTTTGACTAGGTCTGGGTTCATTTGGGACAGGGCTGGAACCTTTTTCTTGACCGGTTTGGGTTTTATGGTTGACACGAAGAGGCTCGGTTGACTCACTGAGGAGAGGCTCGGCTGGCTCAGTGAAGAGGGGTTGTATCGTTTCTGCTGTTGGAGTCGAGGCACTTAGGATTGGAAATTCTGGAACTCCCTGAATCATTCTCGAGCAGAGAATCCCAATCCCAATTATGAGATTCCATCATTCTATTCTCCCCCTGAATAGAGGAATTGGTGTAGAATGATTGGTGCTCGAAGAATGTGACATCCGTAGAATGAAAGAACCTGTTTGTGAGTGGACAGTAGCATTTATACCCCTTCTTGTTTGGTGAGTAACCAAGAAAGATACATTTGGTGGCTCTAGGATCTAGTTTCCCTTTGTTTTGGGCGTAGACATGGACAAAAGCAGAGCAGCCGAAGACTTTGAGTGGAATCTGAGTGATAAGGTGAGAATTTGGAAAAAGTTAGAGGAATGTTTGGCTTGGAGTTTTGAAGTGCAGGATACGTGAGGGCATACGGTTTATGAGATAAGTAGCGGTGAGAACTGCCTCACCCCAGAATCTTTTGGGAACATTTGAGGTGAACAATAAAGAGCGGGCAACCTCAAGAAGATGACGGTTTTTCCGTTCGGCTACACCATTTTATTGGGGTGTGTCAACGCACGAACTTTGATGAATAATACCGTGATTTTGCAAATACTTTCCAAGAACCGAATTGAAAAAATCTTTGGCGTTGTCTGTTTTGAAAACCTGAATGTTGGTTTTGAATTGATTTTGGATCATGGTATGGAATGTTTTGAATATCTGACTAGTTTCAGATTTGTCTTTCATTAGGAATACCCAACTTAAGCGTGTATGATCATCAACAAATAATAGAAACCAGCGGGCCCTGGTGATATTTACAACCCTTGAGGGACCCCATATGTCGCTATGTATCAGTGAGAAAGGATGAGAGGACTTGTATGGTCGAGGTGAATACGAACTGCGTGTGTGTTTAGATAATTGACAAATATCACAATGAAAGGGTCTTGAATTTTTATTGATAAATAATGATGGAAATAGTCGTTTAAGGTACAAAAAATTTGGATGACCTAGACGATAGTGCCACATCATGACAGCACTATCCTTATTGGACAGACTCGAAGACAAGGACATACTAGGTAACTGACTTTCTGGACTGACATAGACTTTGCTGCAACTTTTTTCTTCCTGTGAATTAGCGTGATTGAGAAGATAGAGACCCGCACAAAGCTCAGCATTGCCAATCATCCTCCCCGATTCCGAGTCCTGAAAAACACAAGTTTTGGCAGAAAACTTAGTAACGCAGTCCAAATCACTAGTAAGCTTGCTCACAGACAATCAATTACAGTCTAAATTAGGCACAAATAAGACTGAATGTAGGACAAGAGTTTGGGATAGTTTGACAGTGCCAAATCCAGCAACTTTGGAACATGATCCATTGGCTACACGGACTGTGAGATGGCTCCGGCATGGACTAAATGATGTGAGCAGAGACCTATTTCCAGTCATGTGATCTGATGCACCAGAGTCCACAATCCATGTATTTGAGAGTGTCCTGGTTGCACCAAAAACTCTAGATATATTACCTCTGTGAACAGTACCTCCTGTACCAATAATAGTAGGAGTTGGCTGTGTATTTGCTTGACTAATTAGCCTCTGAAGGACCTCAATTTGATCCTTGGTAAATGGAACTTGAGAGGACGCAGCAGTAAATTCTGTTGAGGCTGCATTCCCACGGTTTTCACGCTCAGTAGACCACCGGTTAGGCTTCCAGTCCACGGGCTTTCCATGGATTTTCCAGCAGGTGTCCTTGGTGTGGCCTGGTTTTCGACAGTGATCACACCAAGGTCTCCCTCTACGAGGCTTGTTATCATTCAAATGTGGGGGAGGACCACAGGCAGCAAGAGCCTGGACTGAGGCATCCTCCTGTGATGGTAGCAAACCATTAGCCACAAGGGCTGAACCTTCTGGAGTTGACAATGCCCCTGATTTTCCCAGCATTACTTTTCTTCGACTTTCTTCCCTACGGACCTCAGAAAAGGCCTCTTGAAGGCTAGGAAGAGGCTTGGTGGAAAGGATTCGACCCCGAACTTCATCTAGGGATTTGTTAAGTCCCATGAGGAATTTGAAGACCCTTTTTGTTTCCACTATTTTCCTGAATTTGGCACCATCATCAGGACATTTCCAGTCATGGGTTTCGAACAAATCAAGTTTCTGCCAGTTCCGAGTTAGGTTGGTGAAATAGGTGGTGACAGTTGTCTCCCCTTGATTTAGATCCTGAAATGCAGTTTCCACCTGAAATAATTCCGAGGTGTTTTCACTATTGGAGTATGTTTCTTGAGCGGCTTCCCAGATATCTCGAGCCGTGGAATAAAGAAGAAAATTTTCACCAATCTCTGTGGTCATGGAACTTATCAGCCAGGATATAACCATGTTGTTTTTGGAGCGCCAGAGTTTGTAGCTGGTATTGGACTTGTCAGGTGGGGCTGTTGCTCCAGTGAGATAATCATCACGACCCTTGCCACTGATGAACATCATTACGGATTGAGACCATTGCAAATAATTGTGACCATTCAATTTATGACTGGTAACAGGAATCAGATTGCTCTCAGGCATAGCCGAAGTGAGAGCAGGAGATGAACCAGATGGAGAGGTGATACTGGTCGAGGAGGACTGATCTGTTTCAGTCATAATCGAAGCAAGAAGCAGGAAAAAAAAAGTAGGAGAGAATGATGGCGGCAGAAAGGAGCAACGGTGTGAGGATTCAATTAGAGATAATAAGGGATGGCGGCGTCAGGTTTAGGGCACAGAGAATGACGGCAGATTTAGGGCACAAAGAGAGGCTCTGATACCATGTAGAATATTTTGGAAGAGAAGAAGTTATTTTCTCATTTACTGACCGAATATTTATATACACAGAAAAGAGATCTTAGGTTGTTAAGATCCCTGAAAACTAGGAAAAGAATCTGCCTAAGAATCAGATCTACTTTACACGGCTACTTTAATGATAAAATACAACTAACTTCTAGAAGATTTTCTACATTATGCAATCTTAGGCTCTGAGTTTTGAACATCTTTCATATGGATTCTGCAAGATTTATGTTGAGGTGGTTAGTTTTCTTCAAAGATTTAACTTTGGGACTCTTATAAGTATTGGCAGGACGAAAAAATATTGCAAAAGTTGAGATGGTCTGGTCAAGCATTGTATTTTGTGCCACTGTCTTTTGAATAAGTTACCAAGTGGTACGGGTTTTCTGCTAATTAGGAGTGAGGAGTGTTTATATATGATTATATGTATATTATACAAATTGAAGTAGGAGCTTTTCCGGTGTTCTTACTTGTTGTAAAGAAGTATTGTTCTTACTTGTTGTAAAGAAGTATGGTTGAATTGTTCGTGCTATGGTAGAAAGACAAATATATTCTGTTGGACAGTAGGAAAGGATTAGGAACAAAATAAAATAATGAAAGTAATACTAGAAGCAAAGAATCTTATATACTTTATACTCTTGTAAAACTTTCTTGGGAGAACACTGCGAATTGAGAGAGCGGAACAGATATTCCTAGCCTCGTGAAAAAACAGATATTCCTAGGGATTTGGGTTTTATAAACATAATGCTTGGTTCTTATATACGTAAGGTCATTAAGTATCTTGTATATTTACAAACAGGTACTATTGCTGACATGAGTTTGGAAATTTTACATGTTTATTGTGCCTTGATGTTTTTATTGCCAATTTGTAGGGTGGGGTCCTGTCCACAGCTGGTCCATCTCCGCTGGTCACACAAGCTGCTGGCCTCATGCAAAGCTCAATAGCTGTTACTCAACAACCTGTTCCCGTCTTTCGGCCACCGGCTGGGATGCACATATCTCATTACCCACCAAACTACTTTTCCTACGGTCATTATTTTCCACCATTCTATGTGCCACCTCCGGCCATCCACCAATTTTTGGGTAATGGCACGTTTTCGCAACAACCTCAGGCTGGTGGTGTATATCCTGCTCCACCAGCAGCCGCTGCAACGGGAGTCAAATATTCAGTTCCACAGTACAAACCAGGGACTAATACAGGAAACTCTGCTCATATTGGGATGACAAGTGGTTATGGACCATATGGCTCCTCTCCAGGTGGTTATATTCCCAATTCTGCCACAACAGTTGGGAATTCAACCACTAATGATGATCTTGGCCCCTCCCAATTCAAGGAAAATAATGTATACATTGCTGGACAACAGGTTCGCTTTTGGCCTTATCTTTTCCAGTATGATATATAATAAATAGTTTACTCATCCATTATTAATTAATATCATAAAATAAAAAGTATAATTGAGCATGTGGATTAGGGGTTTAAATCAAACGTAAATGCAAAAGTAATTGACTTTAAGGGATATCAGTCCTGAGCAACTATTGGTTTTGATAATTTGCACTCCTTTTTGTTTTTTGTGTCGTTTTGTTTGTTCTTTACTTTTTTTTTGTTTTTTAAATCTTGTTTCTCACCTGTTGCTAATTTTCTTATTCTTTATGCTTCTGGATAAAGATCGGGCCGTTTCATCTTTGTATCATGCAATGCGTTTACATTCTTTTATAAAGAAATTATCTACTTCTCCTTAAAATCAACCAGTCTGACTAACTTGGGGACAAGTGTCAGTTCTGGTTAATACTATTCTAGTATGCTGCTGTACATGTTCTGCCGCCATCTTCTTTCTTGCCACGCTCTTGTTTTTTCTTTCACAATTTCTATGCACACCATTTTGTAAAATGCTCATGAATTGCTTTGCTTATCCAGAGTGAAGGTTCGGCCATGTGGGTTGCTGCACCTGGCCGAGACATATCGAGCCTGCCTACAAGTTCATTTTACAATCTCCCTCCACAAGGTCAGCATGTGGCTTTCACCCCAGCACAGGCTGGCCATGGTACGTTTGCAGGTATTTACCACCCTGCTCAAGCTGTAACAGCAACAACTGTTCATCCACTTCTGCAACAGTCTCAGACCATGGCTGGGGCTGTTGATATGGTGGGACCTGGAGGCGGTGTTTACCAGCAGCCTCAGCACACCCAAATAAACTGGCCAAGTAACTACTGAATAAGGATAGGCTTTCTGTAAACAGTGGAAAACGACGAATGCAGGTCTAATCGCGCGATTTTTTAGGGACCTCACACTATTGGATGGGGGGAGACCTCAAGAAGATACAAGGTTGGCTGGCTTTAGTGTAAATCTACAAAAAAGAGGCTGAAAAGTTTGCCAATAGTATCTCCCGATTGCTTGGGTGAGGACATAAAAAGGTGCACACCACCTGTAACTGATGTTGACCATTTTTAGTTAGTCAAGGTAGGCATGTCCAGGTCTTCCTCTTTCTTGCTGCTGCTATATGAGTGTTACTATTTTTTCCTTTTCATAGTTTCAAGCTTCATCTGCCTATCCCTGTGCTTTCTTCATCTCCTGTCTTATCGTTTTCTCTTTTCGCAACTCGCAAGTTTTGAACTTCCTTGGACTACTGTCTACACTGTTTAGTGGTGAGAATCGCTTCAATTCTTTCCTTTCTCCTTAATGTTTGAGGTTATATAGGATTTTGGAAGGTAAGATTATAGGCTGGTGAAGTAATTTTTCTATTCTCTTTTTCTCTTTCGGCTGTCTCTTACCTGTAAAGTGAATTTTGATAGCAAGAAGAGGAAATGTAGTGAACTGTTGTATTGGTGTAAGCAAAAGTCAGCTTAATTCTTTCCGTTGGCTGATAGATCGTTGATGCATGTGGATACATGACAAAAGGGGAACTCTTTTTTATTTTTTTCCTGAAATAATCTTATTATTAGCTTATAAATTCGATTATGATTTCAAAATTTGTACAATCTTCTCTTCTGGTATGCCATTAGACTCATAGAGGATGATTATTTCTCGGCACGGTGAGCATGCCCCACCAATCATCTTCATTCCCTGCTGCAAAGTTGGTACACTTTTTATAGATTTGAATTTATGTAGACTACAATTTGCATTATTCATTGTTTAATGAATCATCTATGACCGTCTATGTAAAGCTTGAAAAATACGAGGACTAGAGGGTTTCACATTGATATTTGACAGTGTTGATAACTCAGGACTATGACAATAGGGTTTCACAAATGCAGGTTCTTTGCTGACCTTGCTCTAACAAATTACTTAAAATAAACGCGAATCATTCTTGCACTTTGTGATGGGACCTTGATGGTTGGTTTGGAGGGAAAATATCCAAGAAATTCAAGCTGTTCGGTTTACACTAAGTTGGTCTAGAATTTTATAGGAAAACCAAACCAAACCAAACCCCTGAAATTTTTTAGGAAATGAAACCAAACCAAACAATATATGATTGATTTTGTTCAGCTTAACTTATTTTTATTTTTATTTAAGGTTCAGCTTAGTTTAGGTAATTTTAATTCAGAGTCCCTACTTTGTGGCCTTAATCCAGACTAGATCTTGATCTAGAAGGAAAGTGTCTTAAAAAAACTGTGTTACCATGAAGTTGTTCTCTCAAAAGTGAGTGGTGAGGTAAGAACACTGTAGTTTGGCTTGAAAAGGGAAAAACAAAAAAAAGTCTTTCTTGATAAGAAACATGCGAGACTTTTCTAGGATTCATGAAAAGCACAAGATCAGTCAGATGGGACAATTCAGAGAAAGTCCCAGTTCATGGTCATATTTGGAAGAATTAGGTACAAAATTATGTGCATGGCAGCAAACTCTTAACAGCAATCAAAGACTCTGGGGCCTCAATGAATTTTAATTTTTGTTTTTGTTTTTTTTTTGTTTTTTGTTTTTTGTTTTGTTTTTGTTTTTGTTTTTTTTGTTTTTTGTTTTTTTTTTTTTGGTGAAACATGAACATATTTGACTTTCTAGAGTTTACATATTTTCTAGGGAGCATATAACTTGATTATATACCCTATAAACAAGGAGTCTTTTTAGTAGGCCTTGAAAAAATGAACTACCGAAAAGTTTCATTTTCTTGAATCAAAAACTATTTATTCTACGTACATTTTTAATCTAATGTGATTTTGATTAGATCTAATGGTCATGAATTGACTCTACTAGTAAGAGTGGCGTATTAGAGAAACATCAATAATACGTTATATGCAAAAGTTTGAAGCTTCCCTAGTTTGGTTGTGAAACAGTTTGGCCAACACAACGTGAAAATGCTCCTTGTGGTTGCAAATGGGCGGTGAAGAAGAGTTGCAGACTCGGCAGTTTTTTTCTTCAGCCTTTTGCTGAAATGCCTTCTTCAGTTAGGAAGAAGAATATTGCCTTATTAAAGGGCCTCTAAGCATAAAAGCTGTCTTCTTTCTTTTTTGGAAGCCTCTTTTTGATGGGGTGGGCACTCTGTTTTCTTGTATCTGTGTTTGTTGTTTTTTCCAACCTAAAGTTAACAAGGAACAAAATAGAATAGTATGAAAATTATCTAATACATAATTTTTAAACGTCAGATTACATTAAAATTATATCAAGACATTTGGTATATTTTGATGAAAATCAACAATTTAAAATTGTGGTCTCTAGTGAGTTCTTTGTAATTTAGTGCATGTAAAAATGGTTAATCAATATTACCTAAGGAGCAAGGACTAATAATTATTACTTAAAGTTGTGCCTAATTATATGCCAAATGATTCTTTGTCAACCATAGCTCTTGACTGATTAAACTAATTGGTTTCACTTATTGGAGAAAGGCCATAAACAAATCAAGATTAATTATATAAGAATTCTTGAGGAATTTAATTTGTCGGTATAGTTTGGACCTTTTGTTCTTGTCGTGACTCTTTTGGGTGTTTTTTGTCTTCCCTTTGGTATCATCTTGTGACCATCAGAATCTGCAGGCCAACACTCTACCCATTTTTCAATTGTTCTTATTCAGCACGCCCATGACTTTATATTTATATAAATATATATGTGTGTATTATTAAACAACTTTGATTGTATAATCACACTTAATTACTTAATTATGATAAATTTATCTCCTATTTTTATCTGGGTAGGAGCACTCTTCACTTTATATATATATATATATATATTTTGGAAAGTTTTGCATTATTTTTTCAATATTATTTTATAAAATCAAAATAAAAATGTTTATAAATATTGATATAAACAACATCATTTTAGTGAAACTGCACATTACAATAGAAACTCTCTTTTTCTTTTTCCTTTCCTTTTTCTAATATCCTATCAAAATAATTCCGCTTTGTTGATTGGAAATGACTAATTATTCTCTATACTTTTATTAAATTTCAATTCATGATGTGAAATTTTACGGTATAGTGTAATTATCTCTTTTTAATTTTGATTTTCAATTTTCCCTTAAATAAATTGTTTTTTTTTAATCCGGTATTAGAAAAAATAGAAAAGGGAAAGGAGGAAAAGGAGAAGAAATAAAAATGGAGAAAACTAGATAAACGGTAAGAAAATCTGAAAGGAAAGAAAAGAGCGAAGCAGGAGAGAGAGAGAGAGAGAGAGAGAGAGAGAGAGAGAGAGAGAGAGAGAGAGAGAATGGGGCAGGAGGAAGAGGAAGCCACAGTTGCAGTAGAGGAAGAAGAAGATGAAGAAGGGAGGAGGGAAAAGTCGGAGGAAATACGGAACCAGAGGAAGCAGAATCTGATTATGGAAATCTCGTCGAAGCTCATCCATGGCGATCTGGAGGCCAAGATTGAAGCCGCCAGAGACATCCGACGGCTGGTCAGGAGGTCTGCAACTACAATTTCTTCTTCTTCGTGTTATTCTTTGTCTTATTCGTCTTCTCCTTGTTCTTCCTCGTCGTCTTCGTCTTGCAAGACCCGCTCGAAGTTGGGAGCTGCGGGTGTGATTCAGCCTCTGGTTCTGATGCTCGTCTCTCCCAATCCTGATGCTCGCGAAGCCTCTCTCCTCGCTCTCCTCAATCTCGCTGTTCGCGACGAACTGTCAGTCTCTCTCCCTCTCTCTCTCTCTCTCTCTGGCTGCTGATAAATGGTGATTTTATGCTTAGATTTCGAATCGAACCGGACGAGATTGAATCTGGTAGAGATGGAGAAGAAGATGAAAACGAATTATATAAACCAATCGGAAAATAATTTTTGGTTGAAATTCTTCTAACCAAACCGGAAGTCCAAATCTGGTTCATTTGAGGTTTTCTTGAAGGATGTCTCTTGATTCAATCCGTCGAATATATTTGGAGTCGATTTCAATTTCCACTCGCTGCTAAGAAAATACTGAAAAAGGAACAAAATGAAAATATTTTGTTATCTTCGTAGTGATTTTAAGAAGAATTTCAGCTATTATTTGAAGGGAGGGGAAAAAATTGGCTCCTTCTAGTCTGAAAACTGTGAAAATTTATTTGATTCATGTTTGGTTACTTGGAACTTAGAAAAAAGGAAAAGCAAAGTGCCTGAGCACAGCTAAATCTTAGGAAATGCTTTGCAAGAAGCAATTTGAGTTTAATTATTTGTCTCTTTCCTTCAGCACTGCAAAAAGTTGATGTTTTCTACAGAGGACTTGTTTTGCTTGCTACTGATACTGCTTGTGTTGAATTATGTTTCTAAGTTGACGGTTGAGAGAAATTTGTTGGAGCTGTAATTTTCTAGTCTTAAGAATCAATGGGCTGAAATGGGGCTAATTCTATGTATTAATTTCATCTTGTGAATGTAGCACAAATATCCTTCTAATAGCAAAGCAACCCTCCATTCCTTTAGTTCCAGTTTAGAAAAAGGATTCTCCTAAACTACAGAAGATAATGAGCTTATTTTGTGATTAGTGGTTAACAAATATTGCAAAATTGTATCATATTATGTGAGTTTCTTTCGTATTTGGATACTTTTCTATGCGTTTCCACGAGTTTTATGCTTTGAAATCAGATGTTGTGAATTTCTTTATCACGTCTGAACTTCTTCTTTATTTCGGCACCATGCTTTTTCGCAATTTTTATGCTTTGTGACCTTCCTTATCAACTTCTATGCTTCGAAATCAGATATTGTTGAGTTTCTTTATCACATCTGAACTTCTTCTGAATTTGTGCACGATGCTTTTTCGCAATGTTTATGATTTGTGGCCTTCCTTATCATTTTTTTTTTGGCTCAATTCATTAGTTTTAGTGTATCATTAGGATCTGTTGTCAGTTTATCTCACATGGCTATGGCCATTGCCATTGTTTCATATTTATCAGAAACAAGGTGAAGATAGTGACAGCTGGAGCCATTCCTCCTCTTGTAGACCTCTTGAGGTTCCAAAATGGGAGTCTAAGGGAATTAGCCACAGCAGCTATTTTAACCCTCTCAGCTGCTGCGACGAACAAGCCAACTATTGCAGCCTCTGGAGCCGCACCTCTCCTGGTTCAGATTCTCAGCTCTGGTAGTGTTCAAGGAAGAGTTGATGCTGTCACAGCTTTGCACAATCTCTCTACCTGCAAAGAGAACTCATTTCCAATTATTGATGCTAGAGCCGTTCCTCCTCTTATTAACCTTCTCAAAGAATGCAAGAAGAAGTACTCTAAATTTGCTGAAAAGGCCACAGCTCTACTGGAGATCCTATCAAACTCTGAAGAAGGGCAAGTTGCAATCTCGAACTCAGATGGTGGGATATTGGCACTAGTAGAGACTGTTGAAGATGGATCCCTTGTCAGCACAGAACACGCAGTTGGAGCGTTGCTTTCATTATGCCGGAGCTCCCGGGATAAATATCGGGAACTCATTCTCAAAGAAGGCGCAATCCCAGGCCTTCTGCGTTTGACAGTAGAGGGCACAGTAGAAGCCCAAGAGAGAGCTCGCACCCTTCTTGATTTGCTTAGGGATAAACCTGAGCAGAAGGGACTGACATCCTCCGTTTTAGAGAAAATAGTTTACGACATTGCTACGAGGGTTGATGGAGCAGATAAGGCTGCAGAAACCGCCAAGAGGCTTCTGCAAGACATGGTTCAAAGAAGTATGGAGCACAGCATGAGTAGGATTCAGCATAGAGCTGCATCTTGTACGCCTTCCAATATTTCATCTTCATGATAATACCCACTTCGGCTTTGAATGCGAGAAAACTGGGTAGAGTTTTGTACTGAATCCGTGTTTTGTTTGGCCAGTTAAAAACTCTACTCTCCCAGCTAAATTACCATACCAAAATGTGCAGAGATGACTGGAGTTTGACTTGTCAGTGGATTATCTTGTTAACCCGTGTGATAAAAAAAAAAAAAAATCTTGCCTTTTGGGCAAATGTAAATATGAAAGAACTGTATGCTAATTTACATGTACATTACTTGTGATCAAAAAGAGCCTGAGAGTTGTCACGCTGAGGTTGCATAGCCAATCGTCTTCTTTTTACTGAATTTTTGAAGTCCTTAAACTCCTTTTAGTCTGAATATTTGTACCTTCTCTCCTTTTCAATGTCTATGGTGCGACCGCATTTCTGGGGTCGGGCATAGCACTTGGGAACTGGAAAATTGCAAGATTGAGGCTCGCGTTTTAGCTCAACATTTTCAGTCCTACTAGTTTATTTGGAGTAGGAGGACGGGTAATGTTAAGGCGCACAACTCGAGCTGTTGGGCGCTGTCTTTCTCCATTTTTCTTTGGTCCCTTAGAACCGCTAAATTTCCAGCTTTTTCCTATTGGCCTGGTGGAGGCGTTTCTGTTATTTGTTGATTCGCTTTGTGCTTGTTCAATACTTTTCTATTGAAAAAAAGGTTGGCTATGGGGTTATCTTTCTTAAAAACAATGGAGCTATTCAAAGAAAAAAATAAGTGGGATTTGGTGAGAACGTTTATCATTAATGAAGACGCCACTTTACATCCTCCTTGAGCCTATACAACTAACGTGCGAAGGCTCTGAGCCTATCCACTTCAAGAAAGGAATACCAACACTAATAATGCCATTTCAAAGCAAAATACTTGACTTTATATTTATACACAAAATCTCTTCAGTCGTTTATTATTATTTTTATTTTTTCTTTTCGTTTCTGAATACCAGGATTTGAACAGTAATGTATGTCTTTGGTGGATTCATATGAAAAATGATCTTATAACAAACATCAAGTATTTAACAATGTGTTGAGGTGGTGAAAGTGATGTCATGGGGAAGCTTAAGGAAAATAGAGCATCTATTGACCTACTAATTCACTAAAAAATGCCAAATAAATTGAGATGATTCAACTGAATAGAAAGTTTATGCAAGATATTGAGAGAATTATCGAGTGTACACGACAACATTCAAATACATGAACCTCTGGTAGTGAGAACAGTTGTGCAGACAGTTCGGCTAAATGGAATAGGGTGGGTTTGGTAGAGATTTTAGGAGCCCAAGCGGAGACGTTTGGTTCATAGATTAGAACTATGTGATTAGAATTATTTTTGATTTACGTGTATTTTTTATGAGTGAAAATACTGTAGCAAACCACGAACCATGATTCGAATCAGGGGACGAATCCTCCAACCAAACAACCTCTTAATTCTCTACCTTGCTAAAGTTATTTTTTGTGTATGGTAAAAACCTTAAAAAGTACTTCTTAAAGAAATTGTGTGGAATTTGGGCTCAAAATCAGAACCAGTCTTTGGCCTGCTTCTGATTCTAGATTGTGCGGGAATCCATTGCCACATTTAATGAAATTTTCCTTATTTCCCAAATTAACCCTGTTGCATGTAAGAAATCTCCATCCCAAATTTTCACCTCCTTCGCACTCTCCTCTCTCTTGCTCTTCATGTGCTCTCTCTCTCCGTTTCTCTCTCTTCTCTCTCTTTGCTCTCTCGAACTCCCTTCTCTCTGTTTCTGAGTTGTTCTTGCACTTTTAGGTGAGGCTGAGTCTCTCCTCTCTCTCTGTTCTTTCTGTGAGACTGGGTTTATTCTCGTTAGGGTTACCTGATTTCGGGCTAGTTGGACACCGTCAGATTGCCAGTTGGAGCTCATCAGATTAATAGCCTCTGTAAGTACTCCATTTAGTTTTGTATTGAATGTCGATTAGGTTTTTTGTTCTTTGGATTGATGGATTTTGAGAAAAAGCTTTTTTTTGTCCCTACTCTGTATTTCGTTTGTTTGGGAGAGACGATGTAGATGATGACCAGCTCCTACCGGAGTTGGTCAGAGGAAGAAGGAAACGACGTCATTGTTGTATGGGCGTGGGTGTGGGTTTGGCAGGTACCTCCAATTCGCCGATGTTCCTTTTCACTTGGATTTCAATCTTGTTTATCCAGATTCTAGTAAAATACTAAACATTCAATCTTCATTTCTTTATATGTATGTGGGTGTGTATATTTTCAGAATTTAATGCTATTTCTTTGTTTTTCATGTTTGGATTTTTGTTGGGTAATTGGGATTTTGTCGGATTTCTTGGTTGAGATTGGCTTGTAAATGGTTATGTAAATTGAATTTCCGGCGCCAAATTTTTGTTGAACTCAAAATGACATGTTGAATTTTGTGAATGCAGTCATGTTTTTTCCTTTTCTTTTAATTCTCTTGGATGTAATTTTGGTTAATTTGGAAGAAACGAATAGAAATATTGAATCTTTTTGATGACTTGCACTTGGGATGTTATCAATCTAACCTAGCTTGTTGAACTTGAAATAGTGATAATTGGTTTCACAATGATATGTATATATTTATATATTGGCTTGAAGTTTCATAATGATATTTAATTTTAAAAAAGAGATCTTGGTTAAAAATTGTGTCTCCATGATCAATTTGTGTTACTCTATCAAAGAAACTACTTGAATTTATTATCTTATGAACATGGAATGGCAAATGTTTGCACATGGTTTCAGCTCATGATAGAATTTGGTACCGTTATGAGTTAAAAAAACACAAAGTTAGGAAAAATTGGGAAAAGTTTTTTTGTTTGTGTGGTGAAAAAAGTTGACTTACTTCAATGCCTCTAATGAAAGTGCACTTATGAGAACTTGCTAGGATTTATCCAATTCCGTTGTGTGCAATCTTCTTTTCCTTTTGTAAAGTTTTTCGGGTGTAGAGCTTGTAAAAAATGTCATGGAGAAGCTTTTCTAGAGTACTCTAGAATATGGATATTTTACACACTTGACTTGATTCTATGGTTCTCTATATGTTTAATATAAAGTTTTTTCTTTGTTGGAATGTGCGTTGATGAGCATAATTATAAAGGAAAAAAAGTATATAGATAAGAATATTGATCACTAATATTTGGATTCGTTTCTCTATTAGATCAAATTCCTTACATTGATTCTAGTGATTATGTGGCCTACAATAATGAGAAGGGTGGAGTCATTGAGAGAATTAAAAAAGATGGAATTATTGATTTGGATAATGAGCTCTACTCAGTTCCAGATTGAATATCTACAAAGGCGATGCTCACTTCGTGGCTTGCTGATGCAATTAAGCTAAGTATGAACTCTGGGTGGGAAGTGATGGTAGTTTCGCTCAAAAGATATATTGTTCCGATCTCCCATGGCCAATAGGAAAGGTCCTTTTCTTGAAGCAAGTTTATAATGTAAAGGAGAGAGATACAATTTACCACAATTTTGAGAATGGAATGTATATTTTGTCTTTTACCTTGATGATAAATTAGATTGTATATGTGGATTACTCGCTAATACTCATTTTTTTTTGTAACTACATATTGTCAATGAAGAAATGAAAAAAAAGAAAAAATTATTATAAATTTAATATTAGATACCTCAGCACTAAATCAAGTTTTTATTTTTTAATTTAAACAAGTATTTCTTAATAACAAATAAATTTTTATATGCTTCATTTCTTATTTAAATTTATTTTTTTAAGTTAAACAAGCATTATGTTTTTTTTTAAAAGTTAAACAAGTATTTTTAAATACCAAAAATTATTATATATATTTAAGTTTCATACCATGTTTATTTTGATAATTTTAACTACCCATAGTAATTCAACCACGTAATTTACCAAACACTATTACACTGATTTTAGAACCAGCACAGATAGTATAATTATAATTTACTAAATATTCCGCTGTTTTTTGTAACAATTACTTATTTTTTCACCACAATTAAAAGTAATTTTTTTAAAATCTACAGCACTACCAAACTAACTAAGCTTAAGCCTGGGTTATAGGGCTGGGTTGGTTGTTTTTACTTTGAAGAGGTGGCTACCATGTTTTAGCCTATTTTTAGCATTTTAATAAAGAGTTTTATTCAGAGAAAAAAAAATAAACCTCTAGTAACGGAAAACTTTTGGACTTTCCTTTTGGACTTTCTATTTTCATATTTAGAAAATGGGCAATCTTGATAAACACCGCTTGAAAGTATATGAATTAGAATTTTTACAATTTACTCTTAATTTATAACTTTTTTAGTCAAATAATTACATTAATAAAATGATATTTAACAAGAATAAAAGATAAAAGTCTAGATTTATGCACTTTTAAAGGTAAATTTTGTAAATTTCTCCTAGAAAATCCAAATTCATTTGTAGATACAAAGTCATTTACTAACTATAAAACAATAACACCAGACCAACATCAAATTGGCGCGTGTCTCTAATTAATTCATTAAGGTGCATTGCATCATCCTCTCTTACCCATATTTTGAACACACGATCCAAATGTAACTGAAATATAATTTTAAACCTTGCAATCTCAATAATTAAAAAATATCTCTTCAGATTAGCACTCCACTAAAAATTCCACGGTGTGAGATTCTTTCAAAATCAATCATGAATAATTCAAATAGGGGAAGAGATAGTTGTGCATAAACAAATTCAAACAGGAACGGAGCTAGCTAAGGCTGAAAGGGGGCTACAGCCCCTATAAGTTGTGCATAAACGAATTATCGGTGAAAAATATTTAAGTAGGAACTTATTGGTGAAAAACTATTTACATTTTACATGTTCTTCAAATAGTTTTTCACCGATAAGTTCCTACTTAAATATTTTTTTTTATGTATTCTTCTAAAATTTTATTTTCTCAAATATGATTGGTCAGGTATATTCTTAGTTGGGGTCTACTTCATCTCTTCTTTGAGTGCCACATGGCAAAAAAGCAGCTTCTCAAATTACGGTCCCGTTCATTTCACCGATTCGAGTTTAAAATTTGAATTTTGTTACGGTAAAAAGTTCTCAGAAACAATCACATCTAACTTTTAGATACATTTTTAACTAATTGATCCGCCTTGCTCTTTTTTCTTTTTCTTTTTTTGCGTAATCTTGCATTTTACATGTTTATTATACTATATACTATATATCTATATCTTGTATTTACTTTTTCAACTTTTTATATTCAACTATCATTACATACGGTATAAGTTTGTTGATTTTCGTCCAATCATCACTTTATATATCTTTAGTTCCATAATTTTTAATAGGTTACAATATTATTTTAAAAAAGTTATGATATTATTTTGTAAATTAGAAAAGTATAAATTGATTTTAATTATTAAAGTTTGCATCTCTATGCTTGGAAATGCAAATATTATACATGTACAAGTTCATAATAAGCAATAATCAGAAACAATAATTTTTTTTAAATATTATTAATCATACTTGATAATAATAATTTCAAATAATTAAAAAAAACACACACACAAAAGATAAACAATATTCCACCACTAGTATTTGAAGAAAAACTAAAATAAAATAAAGTACTTATTTAAAAAGTGCCTTATTAAAATAATTTCTTAATCCGTCTATTTGCCTGTATTAAAATGTTTTTAGATTGGACTTGCAAATATCACAACTAGATTTTAATGCTAAATATTATTTTGTTTGACCAGAACCCTAGTAGATACCTAGTTATGACGTACTCATTTTCTTGCCTAAATCCAGCTGTAAATTTTCAAGTATTTTCTTAATTAATGTGCAAACGAGCTCTTAAAGCTTCAACCTTCAAAAGATCTTTCTTTATATATATATATATATAAAGAAAACAATAACATGATCATTTAAGTATTAACATTAAACAAGTCACAACCGAAAATTAAACATTATAAATAAGTTGATGAATAATGGACCAATAAGTGCTACTAAAAAAAAAAAAAAAAAAAAAAGGACCAATAACTGCTAAAATGACCCCAAATTTACATATTTGCCACTGTCGGTGTGTCTGTCTGTCTCTTATGTAACATTGAAAGACACATTCACACGAAAGTCCTAATCTAGCCAAAATCTAATAAGAATTTGAAAAATATAAAAAATTCCAAAATCTAATAAATGACGAAGAATTTGTACCCAGTGTGCACAATAGGCCGAAGTTGTTATCTTTTGACACATGTACCATAATACACGTGGACGGATCAGAGCTTATGTGCGTACTGCGCCACCTGCTCACTCTAAAACTCATATTATAGTTTAATTATCTCATACACGCATCATTTTGACCAAATAAATAAAGTCACAAAGTCACAAAATCAGAGAAATCTTAACACTTCCAGCTGCCCAGAAATCACGCTTCACAAATCGCAAAGAAAGGGGGAGAGAAAAACACGGAGATGGCATTTTCTGCTGTTTTTGCATGAGCTTCTTGAAGGAGGAGAAGAAGGTAAGAAAATTATTACAACAAGCTAGATCAAGTTCTTAATAAATCCTACTTGAGTTTTTCATATTCTTGTTTCTAGCCAGATAATCTTTTCATTTCTTACTTTTTTTTTTTCTGCTCAATTCGTAGATCTCTCAAACCCCATTTGCCGTTTTGTTCCAAGATCTGGAAAAAAAAAAACTTGAATAGAAAAAGAAACAGAACCCACTTAGTTCTTTGCTCGAATCTTTGAGTGTGTGTTTCTTTTTGGCGTTTTGGTGATCTGGGCATTTTCCATTTTAGTTCTGGAACAAGGTTATTGCTTCAGAAAATGTTGGGTCGGTCTTCGTTTTCCAGAACCGGAACCTTCCGGCTCGAGAATTTGGGTCCAAATGCTCTTGCCCTGATTGGAAACCTTTGTTTTACTCTCTTTGTGCTTGGAGTGTTGATCTTTACAATTATAGCCGCCACTTATGAACCAGAAGACCCTTTGTTTCACCCATCAACCAAGATAACAACTTTCCTCACATCCACCTCCAATGCCACTTTTAAATCCGACAACACCGTGGTCAAGACCGGTGAGGATTTCATGGCTGCGAACCAGACCGCATTCTCGACTTTTATAAACATAGCCGATGTGGAAAAGGTGACGAGTGATGTTAATTCGGATGGTGGGAGTACCGATGAAGGGAAGTCGGCTGATTGTGAGGGCAATGTGGATACCCCCATTGATTGTAGGGACCCGGAAGTGTTCCATTTGTTGATGAGGGCCACCATAGAGCGATTCCCCGATATTCATTTTTACCGGTTTGGGAAACCGGTTGCTGGACCGAAGGCAGGGACTTGTGATATGGCGTGGCGGTTTAGGCCTAAGGAGGGGAAGACTGCCTCCTTTTACAAGGACTATAGGAGGTTTGTGATTTCGAGGTCGACGAATTGTACTCTGAGTGTTACTGAGATTGGAGACTACCATAGCGGTGTGCTTGCCAGGAAAAGGAAGAGGAATCAGACTCCCGGGTTCGAGAAGAGACCTCTAAAGCAAGAAGAGGTTAATTCTTTGCCTGTTGTTGGGGAGGTTGTGAATGACTCCCTTCCCGTGGTTGAGTCCGAAGGGTCGTTTAGTCGCGGCAAGTACTTGATTTATGTTGGTGGTGGAGATAGGTGCAAGAACATTAACCACTACTTGTGGAGTTTCCTTTGTGCTCTTGGTGAAGCTCAGTACCTTAACCGAACTTTGGTTATGGATTTGAGCATTTGTCTATCTTCAATTTACACTTCTTCCAATCAGGATGAGGAAGGGAAGGATTTCAGGTTTTACTTCGATTTCGAGCATTTGAGAGAATCGGCCTCTGTGTTGGACCAGGGACAGTTTTGGACAGATTGGAGCAAATGGCAGAAGAGAGATGGCATGAGCCTTCACCTTGTGGAGGACTTCAAGGTGACGCCGATGAAACTCGCGGATGTCAAGGATGCTTTGATCATGAGAAAGTTTGGATCTGTGGAGCCAGATAATTACTGGTATAGAGTTTGTGAAGGAGAAACGGAATCTGTTGTCCAGCGACCTTGGCATTTGATTTGGAAGTCAAGAAGGTTGCTGGATATAGTCTCCGCAATTGCAACGAGATTGAACTGGGACTACGACTCCGTACACATTGTGAGAGGAGAAAAGGCGAGGAACAAGGAGCTGTGGCCCAACCTTGATCAAGATACTTCGCCTAATGCCCTGCTTTCGACCTTGCAAGACAAAATAGAAGATGGGAGAAACCTGTACATTGCTACAACTGAACCTGATCAATCCTTCTTTGACCCTTTGAAGGACAAGTATTCCACTCATTTTCTTGATGAGTACAAGGGCCTTTGGGATGAGAAGACTGAGTGGTACTCTGAGATGACTAAGCTGAACAAGGGGAACCCAGTCGAATTTGACGGATACATGAGGGTATCAGTTGATACTGAAGTGTTCTTAAGAGGGAAAAAGCAGCTCGAAACTTTTAATGATCTCACTAAGGATTGCAAGGATGGCATCAACACTTGCAGCACCGCATCGAGCTAAATCCCAAACACAACATCCACGTGTCGTTTTTGCTATTTTCTTCTCTTGCATTTGAAAATTTGTAAGCATGAATTCATAATTTTAGCATTATGTAGCACCCCTATGAGTTTTGTACGTCTAGAACAGCAACTGCTAGTATTTTATCACTTGGATTCTTTTAACAGTTTTAAGTTTATATTTTACTTTAACGTGTTTGGTTTTGAAATTGAGCTCTCAGATATCTCTTTTCAGTATTGTTAGGACTGCTTTTCAAGAAACCTGCTCTAGATGATTAACCTTTTTTGAGGCACCTGGTTAATTACTTGATTTTGGCTACGATAAAAGTAGGAAGTTCTAAAAGGTCTGTAGTTCACATACCAAGTGCAATATAGGGTTGTCATTGGTTTGGTTACGTAGGTTACTATAAATGGTTGGAGTAAATATTTAGGGACAAGCATCATAATGGACCAATGCAATCATAGTTACTAAAACTAAATTTGATTTAAAGATTAGAAATCGTCTATTTCCATTATTGTCAAGTGGGTTTGTTCCTATATCAAGTAGGCATGCATACAATCTCTAGTGTGGTCCTTGCTACCTCTTTGCAAAAACCACCTATGGTCTTCTCTAGTTCCCACAAAATGTTGCCACAAGCAGAATAATTCTCTTCCCATAATTTTAGAGCTTGTTTGCTCCTATACTATAACACGTACACGGGATGTAACACGACAAATTGCGTAACAATGATTTTAAAAAGGTGTAAAATAGATAAATTCCTATTCTTATACCGTTTCATGTCACATCTTCTACTTTTGCATGTTCCTTGTAGAACAGATCCTTCATGGAGAATTTGAGCCTTTGTCAATATTGTTTCTTCTAGGAGAACTCAAAAAATAAAAAATAAAAAATGAAAAACGTTTTTGGTGGTAATCTTTGGTTTAGTAGAATATTTGATATTGTGTTATTGAAACTCACATTACAAGGTGAATAAATTTGTGTAGGGAGAAAAAATAGTATCCGACAGGAACCAGAAATTTTGCCGTAGTATCTTCCTCTTAAAACTGTTTTATTTTATTGAGGAAAAATTGTTCTAATGAACAAAACTGCACGACCTAGCATTAATACAATGCGAAATTAATAGCTCAGAAATGCTGGTTTCAACGGCTACAATCTGAAACACATGATTTACACGCTATCAACAGTAAGAAGAATATTCCCTGCCTCTTTTCTCTGTTGTTCATTGCCTCATGACAAGTGAATCACAAAACACTTTTTTTTTTTAATTACAAAAGAGGCACCATTCAGTTTGCAAAACTTCATTTCCTACCTGCCTTCCACTTTTTTACAGGAATTAGAGTAACCTTTTTGCCGGGGCGGTTATTTTTCGTTTCAGTTGGTCGTAACACTGGAATGCTAACTTGGTGCTGATTTTCATTTTCCTTGTCCTCCCCAAATGGCTTGACCTCGAATGCCCCGCGAGTAAATCCTCTAGCGACCTGACAAATTATAGCAGAGGATTAGTCTTTTAGCCATGTGAACATAATAAAAGACTATTTATGTTTCCCACATAGTTCTTTCATTAACATGGCAAATCACACAGGCGGTTCATTTAAGAAATATTTAATGGGACCCCCTAGGTACGGCCAGTCAAATCCGGTCCTGTTAATACAATGCTGTTTCAGGCATTAAATGATGGTTAAAAAGAACCTAATATTGTTGTAAACTTTAATTTTTGGATCCCACCTGACAGAAGGCGGTTCAAATTTCAATGGCCAAAATTGATTCTTGATGAATCGCTTGTGCAGAACGACCAAAAAAAGACCGGTCATACCATAGTTATAGCTATTTAACAGGGCAAGTTGCATTCATTCTTCTGGGTTTCTATCAGCCGACATAAAGCGTACCTTCAAAAGCATCCAGACTTTGAGGGAACTACTCAAGAGCGCGATTCGTGTCCTCCTTCCAGAGGTCAAGTACTCGCACATGTGATGGTCAACTCGCAGAATAAATCTCGGCCAGGATTTGGGGTTTTCAGGGTCTGCTTTCCGGCCCATCAGTACCTGACAAAGTTTATAACTTAGTCCAACAAAACATCTACTTACATTTTGTTATGTTGCTGAACATAAGTTTTTGTTTACAAATGAGGGGTCATCATTTATTCTAAGCCTGCCTTCATAGAACATACAACTTGTTACAGAAATGCTTCAAGTGTTAACAATGAAATGAATTTCACAGAACCATCATTGTTCCTTTTAGCATTTTGAAATAGTCCAAAGTTCTTCTGGTGCTTCATCCTTAAGCATTAGATGGCACATAAACCGTAAGATGTCACTCTTTAGTTTACTTACAAGTAACCGGGAGATTTCTTGCTCAATTTTCGAGAAGGATGTCTCTAGAGCTTCTACTCTCCCAGTACCATGACAGCAGGTGCATGGTTCACTAATCATAAATGTCACACTAGGTCGAACCTGTCCAAAACATGCCAAAATTTATATCAGACACACAAAAATTAAACTCAATTGAACCAATCAAGCATTTTATGAACCAGAAAATTTTGTGTTTTCCCAGCTATGGATTCCCTCAAATCTAGAGATATACGATTATCATTTGATATTTGATTTTGCCAGTCCCAATTAGTTGGGACGTAGTTAAGTTTGGACAAGGATCAGCCATACATCTCTCTTAACCATTTTATGTTGCTAGTTAAGAACTGAGAAAGGAAAATATAAAAGACAAAATTGTAGTCAAGAACCATACCCTCTTTCTTGTTATTTCCATAAGTCCATGTTTGGACAATTCAGAGACCTTAACCATTGACCTGTCTCTATCAACAGCCTTCTTAACTTCTTCATATACCAATCTTTTATTTGCTATAGGACAAGATAGAACAGGTAAAGAGTTAATAACTGACATAATTTGAATAAACAAGAAATAAAAATAAGTTAACCAGAGAAAGTTCTAGGTCAACACTGTTGAATATGCGATTCAAGCAGTTACAGCAAAGTATATTGTTCGCCAAAACTAAATAAAACCAATAACAATTTTCACGAATTAGCTGGTGGACAAATTTTTTTATGCAGAGTCTTGCTAAACCAAGTTATCTCCAATACGATGCTCTAAATTGCTTTAAGGCCAGAGGACCAAACTCGGTTATGTCTGCCAAACCTTCTATCAATAAAGAATCCGAGACCGGCTAGATGAATCGGAAGTTCAACACAGGATCTTCTTACTTTCTTTTTATCTAGGAAATTGAATTTTATTGATTACAAAAATGTAAACCATGTGTACTCTCCATTTGAGTCTCCAACAATTATTCCAATACTTGCGTATCTAATTTGGCCCATGGACGAACACACAGTCATACGTTTCATACTTGTTTGAGTAATAGCAATGAGATCCCCCGATATCATGCTCAGAATAGCTAGGATTTCCAAAAGAAGATGATTGATTATAAAAATGAAACCCATGTGTACTCTCCATTTGAGTCTCCAACAATTATTCCAATAATTGCAAATCTAATTTGGCCCATGGACGACATACAGTCATACATTTCATGCTTGTTTGAGTAATAGCAATGAGATCCTCCGATATCATTCTCAGAATAGCTAGGATTTCTAGAAGTCATTAGTCTGATGAGAAATAAAAAGGACTTACAATCATCCATCATATCGATGAAGTCTACCACAATAATGCCACCAATGTCCCTCAGCCGTAACTCCCTTGCAATCTGAATCACAAATCATTTTCTATCAAACATGTCACTCTAACAGGAATCATGATTATGTATGTACACGCGAGGAAATAACATCAGCATAAAGTTCACACATGGAGAAGCGGCCACCCCGGGAGGAAAAGAAAAGAAAAAGAGGCAACTAAAGTAAACAGGTAACACATAAAGAAAGTCACAGGGGGCAACTGAAGTACATAATTTGCGTGCAGGGGAAAAATCACCGCAGGCAAAAATCAAAATACTGCAAGGAAGGGATGTAACTGAAAAGTAAGAGTCAACTATAAAGGTTAATCCTTCATTAGGAAAATAGTTCAAGTTGTTGTTTTGGGACTCAAAAAAAAAAAAAAAAATGGTAATCTTGAAATCGTGCCCAGACCATACCCACCCCACTGATAAGCCTTTACTTAGGCAAGTATACATTAGGAAGAATAAGAAGAATTAGGTCCCGTTTATTTCGCCGATTCGAGTTTAGAATTCGAGTTTTGCTACAGTAAAAAGTTCTCAGAAACAGTTACATCTAACTTTTTTGCTACAGTAAAAAGCTCTCACATAACGTCACATCTCAACTCGAATTAAAAACTCGAATCAACGAACTAAACGGACCCTTAGAAAGCTTGTTAGGAAAGATTGTTTCTAAAGCTTGTTAAGAAAGATTGTTAGTTAGCTTGTTAAGAAAGATTGTTAGTAGGCTTGCTAAGAAAGATTGTTAGTTAGCTTGTTAAGAAAGATTGTTAGTAGGCTTGCTAAGAAAGATTGTTAGTTTCTAGTTAGTAGAGCAAAGAGAGAGAATAAAAGGGCTAGAGCAAAGAGAGAGAATAAAAGGGGGAGAGGGGAACGGAGAAAGGGAGGGAAATGTTTTAGGTTTGTCCTGGGAAAATCTTGGAGTTCATTCCAAGTGGGGAGGTTACGGACCCTCAAAGTTCCGCATATCATTTGTATCAATCAGCATTGTTTTCAATAAAATCTCACTCAAATTCATCTTTTTCTCAATCTTTCCTTACCTGCTGCGACAGAATCTATCAAGGTTCTATCACCCACCAACAGGCAAGAAAATAGGAGCATTTACAATAAAGTGGTCGTGCTGCACCCTTATCTAGGAGGAAATACGTCAACATCTAGATTCATGATCTAATTGATTGCCAAACTGTGCAAGCAGGACTATGCAATTTAATTATTCTGATTAACCTTAATCATGTAAAGTAGCAAGATGGATTTAGCATCTGACATACTTGTTTAGATGCTGCAAGGTTGACATCCAAAATTGCTTTCTCCTGTGAATTGCCATGACCAAACATCACAAGTCCACCATTCACGTCAATAGATACTAATGCCTCAGTTTGCTCAATCACTAAAGATCCTCCATTTGCAAGAGGAACCCTGAAAAGCAACAGATGTTACAACAATATTGGTTATCAAGGTTCTAGCAGTTAAATTTGCCAGCAATGGAGCAGAAGTTGACCTAGCAATCAAAAATCTCTGCAAAACAAATTAATAGTATATTTGTCTAATGGTATTTATGATGCAAGGGCAAAATTATAAAATAGTTAATTTAAAGGGTTCAGAAGTATATTTACTTCAATTGATATTCTACACCTCTTTTCCTTGTTCAAATACTTCGTACAGGTGGAACCTCTTTAATGTGGTGCACCTTCAGAACTACGTTTAAAAGTTAAAAATATGCAAATTTCTTGCATCTTACCATTAGTCCCTAACTTTGGACAGTAGTTACCAATTACCACTTTAACCCGTCACGAATTTTTTCAATTTAGCATGGAGGTACCAGCTTGAAATTTCTGCATGCTCAATATTCATTTCACAAAGTAGGGCCAATCTTTCTTTGAAAGGTAAATCAAGAAATTATGGAATAATATTTCATAACAAGAAGCTTCTAAGCGCATTTAGAGCCAGATGAGGCCAGAAGTTTAAATATGCAAAATACACTATTCTCACCTTTTACTAAGAATATTGTTGATCTCTTCTTCAATGTTAAATCCATCAAAAAGAGGGATTCTTTTATTGTATAATTCAACTCGATCACAGAGATCAGGGGCAATTTCCTGAAGGTAATTTGTAACCTGGAAGACAGGAGAAGTGTATTTTTGAATGTGAAGTGATTAAGAGAAGGGAGCGTCTGCGTCTACAAAATAAATTTTTAAAACTTATTTGCCAACTGGGATATCTGATTTAGTAACATAATGATTTTTTTTTATTTATTTTTAATTTTTTTAAATTTATAATCAGCATATGTCATACCTCATGATATGTCCTTGCAGAGTCAACTACCATTCTCTCAACCTGAAGTGAAAGGTCAATAGATAAAGAGAACAATGAGGAAACGAGTCCATTGTGTGAGATAATCATGCTAAACTTTGACACAAGTAACATTTAAATGCTAAAAAAGAATGAAAAATTTTATAATTACAGACAGACCAGAAAGTTAGCCATAATAAGAGTCAGAAAGAAATCACATAAATATTTCACCTTGTCATTAAAATAATCCTGGACAACTGAGAGTGTCTGGCCCATTGCCCTGTGCAAAATAACAGGCACGGCCCCTTCTACACCTTCATCTGCAGCAAGAGAAGCAGATTTTGCATGTTCCACAATGTTTTTCCAAGTTGAAAGCAGACCTACCAAGTCCTTCTGCAGTTCCTCCAAAGTATGACCAGCAGCAACAGTTCTCACAGTCAGACCAAAACCCTGAGGCTGCAACGTTTTTGCGATGACTTTCAGGCGTATACGCTCTACACCAGAGATCTTTTTTGATACTCCAATTCTGTCACAACGAGTAATCAATACCTGCAAGGCAATGGAATCAGCACAGAGCCGTAGGCCTCATAAAAAAATAATTAAAAAAATGGGTCAATCAATTGTAGAGTGCGAGAATTAGGTGGAACATACCCAGAATCTGCTTCTTAGCTTTGGGTAAGCAGTCAATGTTGGACCTTTGGTGCCTAAACCCTCTTTGACAACTTGCACAATTATGTTGGTTCCTTTCTGTACTGGAGCCCACTTATTTTTGTTAGGAACTGCGTGCCCAGAATCCTTCATATTTTGTGAGTTAGACTCCGCATGAAAAGAACTTGTAATAGCTTCCTCTCCTAGGTGGTGTTCTCTTCCATCTATGTTATGCGCATAATTAGCTCCAGCATCATCGTGGTCAATAATACTTCCATTTAGATTGTCTGCAAGTACTTCTGAAACATCAAGCTCATCCTCACTGTCATGGTCCTCATAGTCATCCAGCACAGATTGTTCAGACTCTTCCTGAGAGACAACAGCCAACTCATCTATTATTTCGGTAGGGAATGATGTCTGGTTGTTTCCATGAGCAGCTAGATGATTTTCAATGGTCTCAGTTACAGAACCATTGACTTCAAATTTTGTTGCTCTATGAAATGGAGGGAATATGAACGGTTCCCTATTTTGTTTTATGTCCATGAGAGAGGGTCTATAACTCCCAATATTTACAAATGCCCCCCCCATATGGGGAACAAGTTTCGTGACCACCCCAAGATACACACTATCACACTGCACATTGTTTTTAACTGGTTCAAGTAATAACTCAACTAATTGCCCATCTTCTAACACAGCAATCCTTTGCATCGTACATATTGAAGAATTAATCAAAATAATTGTAGAAATGGAATCTTTCAAGATCGTATTACTCCCTTCTTGAGGTAACAGCTTTTCTGAATCTTCCAACCTTGTCTTATCGTCCTTCATAGTCTCATCTTTTTCAGATAAGTCCAAATCATCAGATATGATGGAGAAGAGAGGTGACTGTAGTAGCCAAGGTTCCTCCACAGGCTGATATCTTTCAGTTAAAAAACTATCAGAAATGGGCTCATAAGAGGCAGTCACTGTATCATTCTTAGAATTTAGATCTTCCTTGACTTTCAGATTATCTGAGGATAGCTTTGACTCTGTTAAATCACTTTTAATGTGTTTCGTTGTCTCCTCTTCATCTGTCAAAGCACTGAAAGCATTTGAGTGTTCAGAAACATTTTAAGGGAGGATATTTAATGTGCAAAGGAACCAGAATGGAGATATTACCTCTGTCCTGTTCCAAAATTAAAGGGTGTATCAGAAGATATGCATCCTCTATCCAATGGATCAACGAATTTTCTGGAGAAAACTTGATAGATCTCACCCACGAATCCCTCACTACAACATTCTTAGATCGCTTGGCAGTTGCAGGCACTGATAGAGAAAATTCAGGCCCAGGTCTCCACATGATGCCATAAGGTGACCTTTCTTCCTTTATGAAATAGTTATACTTGAAACTTACACCACAAGCAATCTAATGACCACAAAAGCATAAATTAGGAAAGGAGACTTCCTAGAAATAATATTTGAACAATAAACAAGTATTGCGAGTATCTCTCATTAGATTAATATAAAAGGTAAAACTGATTATTCATCAACCTCTTATTGTTCATAATGGGCAATAATTAATACCTATTCATCTGAGTCAACAAGGATGAGATACTCATTTGTACATGCATAATTATATAAAGGAAGCACATTGGCTTGTGAATGAAACCTAGCATTTTGGCTGATTTTGCTCACAGTTTGTCCTAGTTAGCCTTCCACATATAAATCTGTGGGAAAATAATTGTTGCCTACAAAATCATGTAATAGTGGACTCGAAAAGTAATTAATTGCGAAGAAAAACACATGCTACGAATCACAATTCACAAATCACAACTCGCTGCTGAACAAATTACCTTAACTTCAGCCTTCCATAAGTTGGCATGTTCTGTGGGAGACATTAGGACGGCCATCTCTGGTTCCCAGCAGCCTAATGCATTAGGATCCCCAGTTACATAGAGAAGTTGACCAGCTTCCAGATTAGTTTCTATAGTCCAAACTACCTTGCACATTCCTTTGAAAGAAGCAGTTGACCTACCTGAAATAAACAAATCATAGATCAAAGATGAAACGCCAAGGGATATTTCAGTTTACAAATATTATTTATTTAGACGCCGAGATGATCAATGAACTGTTGGGAGTATGAAAACGAATTTGAAAATGATAAGGGGATTCATATAACAAGGTTATCCTTTTAAGAATTAAGATGTACCTAAATCCCCAACATCGACTATGATTACGCGTAACTGAGACCCAAATAGTACACTACATTCAATGAAGTGAACTAAAACATAATAAAAAAAAAAAGACAACGGAAATATCAAGTATATAATGCAATCCAATAGCATTTAGTTGCCTAGAATTAAGAAAGGCAGCTAAGCATTCATAATACAACAACAACAACAAGCCTTAATCCCAACTTAATTTGGGTTGGCTATATGGATTTCACTTTTTCACGCAGCTCTGTTTGAAATTAGACTTTCCTAAAGGCCTTGATCATGTAAAAAAAAAAAAAAAGTAGAAACAATAACAATGTACAGTTACCTTTTTCCATGGACATTGCAAGGCATCTTGGAAAAGATTTATGATTCCCTATACAGAGAGCAAATCTGAACACATTTCCTAAAGGAATGTTACGGCAGATATACCTGTTTTGGCAGACATATATTAGCACTCTACGATAAAAGGTGAGGGAGAGCTATAGTTAGACTACCACATATTTCAAGAAATTGGTCATCTTCACATTCCATATTTATATGAAAAATGCAGTTACTCATATCTTCATCTATCAAATAAGCGCTAGAATCTGCACAAAACGCAGGAATTGCTAATCCTTAATAACCTATATACCATAAAATGGTGTCCATCTGATGCAAGTCACTTCCTCGGATTCTACACATATCAGAACATAGTATGAAATATGGTCTGAGATGCCCTATCACTAGAAGCATTTTTGCGATTAAAGGTGTGTATTTGAGCTAATAAGGCAGTAGTCCAGCAATACTGGAAATGTACTGTTTTCTCTAACTCTTAGCATTATGACTTTGAGCAATAATAAAGTGTATCCCTTGATGTTTCCCACGCAATATAACATTTCGAATTTCACTACTTTTCAAGTTTAAAAATTGAAGGCCACTTTTTTTTTTTTTTTTTAAATAAATTTGTACAAATGAAGAAACATTACAACTAAACATTAGAACCATAAATCTCAGACTTGAACATTCCAAACAGCATAAGAGAAATCACTCAAAATACCCATTATTTTATTTCAAAGTTTTGGCCATTTAGCCGAAACCCAATTCAGTTCAGATTATTCTAAGAACCATAGCAACAAGTGAAAAAACTTATGCTAATAATAACTTTACGTCGATGTTATTATTAAGTATGAAAAATATGAACTTACGGAGAGAAAAAGCTGACAGAGCGAAGCAACGAAGAAGAAGAAGAGAAAAAGCTGCGGTGGCTGAGAAGACGACGGTGAGTTTCGGCGACATCCATGGCCGATCTCTGGTCAGTACTTGAAGTATACGGAGGAGAGAGAAGCAAAAGAGCCATGAAGAAGACTGGGAATTGGGAATGGCGGAACTGAAAATTCCGACATTAGAGAGAAATTTGCTTGGGAGAGAGGAGAGTCTGAAGACGAGACGAGACGAGACGCAAAAGATAGAATAGAGGATTACACTCGTTTCTGCCTCTGGGTTTGGCGCTTCAAGTTCGCACGTGTCCCTATTCTTCACACGAGTCTCATTGTATATTTTCTCTTTTCTTGGATTTTGAGGGGAATGCTCTCTGAAGGTGCGTTTAGTCATGGGTAAGAGAATAATAATAATAATAATGAAATGGAAAAAAAGTTAATTTATTTGTTTAGTTGTAATTTTAAGGATATTATAGAATGGAATATGAATATTTTTATGTTGATAAAATTATTTTTATATTATATAAAATACTAATATTTTAATATGAATGTAATTAATATAATATATAAAACGTAATATATAAATAGAATTTTTTAATTCATTTTATATAAATAAGAAATGAAATAAATTATATTTGAAAAATATTTACTTCATTTTGAAACGGGTCTGACACTCGTAATTCTGTAATAGTTGTACGATTCATGTTTTTTTTTCTTCCAATGATATTGTTCGTGTTATTGATGTGGCAATATATTCTAAAATTTGAATTGAATGGCGAAATTTGTAGAAAGATAATATATAAATTTATATGAATATATTAAAACAGAAAAAATAAAAAATATATAAATAAGGATAATAATACAACGATTATTGTTTTCCATGCCTTTTTTTTATTGTTCTTGTTTCAGCAATTTTTCGATCCAAATGATAAAAAGTACATGATGTATTTGCTAGATAAAGTCCTCCTGTAATAAATGAAAATTTATAGTTAGTCATGTAGGAAATTTTTTTAATGAATTATAATATGAATATTAATTTTGGTATTGTTTTGCTGCCATAGCTGTAAATGCTTTCACGATTCGTTCCGTCAATATTTACACTGCATTTTTATCGAAGAGTTATGCGGCATGTCCCCAGAGTGTTATATTGAGTCTTTCTTCTCTAATCGTGTATGTGTCCTAATATCACATAACCTAATCGTGTATGTGTCCCAATTCCACATAATCAAATCGTGTCTATGTCTCAATTCCACATAATTACATTATGTGTAATACACTCATCTAATATCCCTCCATATTAAAAGTGCGGATAACACCGTTTCATTCTTAATGAGAATGACATGTATTAGTAATGTTTTAATTAAAGATTATGAAACTTTAATTAAATTCATTACAAACATATTTCGCTTATTATCCTTAAATATTATCCTCTCATATATAACTCTTACATACAATATTTAAGGTTACATAAATAATAATGGAATTTTTAATGATATTCACATAATTTTTAATAAAATATACACATAAATAATGAATTTCTCATTTATAATAGTATCATTTGTCACATCTCATGCTTTTAAAATACTATTCCCAACAATAACTACTAAGTATTTAATATATTGGATACTGAAGCCTGCAAATTTGATCAGTTATGGATAGAATTACCCATTATATTAGCCACTTTTTGTTGGGATATATGCCCATAAATCAAATAAGATGTAAATATTTTGTTAATTATCAATGAAATAAGGAATTTTTTCAATATTATTTTGCATGCATGTGATGTTTTATAAATATCAAAATCCCTAGATTATTTTAGATGTAACTTTAAACATTGTATATAAGTGTTATATGCAGAGGATAATGTTTGAAATAAAATAATCTAAACTTGTCCGTAATTATAAATTAAAGTTGGGATCTTTAATTAAAAATTACTAATGCGGTTCATTACATTCTGAATGAAATAATCTTATCCTCGATTGTTAATAATGAGATTATTAGAATGAAAGCATTTTATGTAATATGATTACATAGGACCGGAACGCGATTAATTATGGATCTATAATAAATTTTGTTATTAAATAGAGTATTCAATATTAATCAATGATGATCATATATGAATTAATCTTAATTTTGAGTAATTAATAAACTCCTATTTATGATATTATGTTCTTTGACATATTGAGTAATGACACATGTGAATAGTGTCAAAGTCTTGGTATATT